TAACCGAGAGCAGCGGTTCATAAATTTTTTCACCTAAACCTAAATCAGTTAACCATTTTTTTCGGTTTTCAGATAAACCAATTAACTGTTAGTAATTAAAAGATGTATTTTGGAATTAATATAGTTTAAAATTAATTTTCAAAATAATGATAATTTTTTGATAAAATCGTTCCTAGACACTAAAATGATAAATATAAAGTTTAAAGTTTAAAAAACACAACTAAATAACAAACAAAAATAAATAATCTTTTGTAGAAGTTTTGCTTTTTTTATGGGTTTTAGTCTTTTGAATGATTTATCAACTATCCATTGGATTTTTGATGAACACAAGAACTCACTTTCTTTTATTGTATAGTTGTCTTCTTTTTAATATTGAAACGGACTATGTTGGCGAATTTGTTGAGACGGATGTGACCACTTGGCATGCTCTGGTCCAGCTTAAAGGTTATCTTGGAGTGGTGTCTCAATCTTTGTATTTTCCTTGAGCGATACGGAAAGTAAAAAAGGAAAGTTTAAGTGGTTACAATTTAGGAATCCTTGTTATATTCTAATGTGTTTGTTTTAGTATATAATGAGATAGAGTCCATTATTTTGTAATTAGAGAGTTGAGAGATTGAAGTTTTCAGTTATTTTTCTTCAATAAAAGTTCTAGCGAGTTAAGGCTGCATATTCGTCTTGTTTTTCTGCTTTGATTTAATTGGTATTAGAGCAAAGTAACCAAAACCTATGAAGGAGAACTCGATTGAAGGGGCACTCGTGATCGTTTCTTTGTTTTCTGTTGAGTTGTTAACTGGTGTGAATAAACCTATGCAGAAATCCAAATCAGGAAACCCTCTAAGAAATCTCGTGTTCTAAGATCATGAGTGGTTTGGCGATAGTGGTGAGAAGATCTACTGCTCGAACCCAAAACCTGCGACGGAGGGTGAAGTTGCGAGAGGAGGAAGATAGTGTCTCTGCGAACCTGCAACAATTGTGTACCTGCATTTGAAGGAACTCATGTGGAGCTCTCGTGCATTTTTTTTGTGTTCTTGTTGTGAAGTTGTTTACCTACTTCTTGTTCAGAAGTCATTTGCCTCTTGTTGTTTGGAGATCGAAAACCTAAATGTGTTTGTTTGTAGATCACAAACCCACCAGAATCGTGTTTTAGTCTTTTTATTTTGATTTGGGCCTTTCTTTAGATCATAATTTAATTTAATTTTTGGGTTTTTTTCTACTTGGCCCAAATCTGATCTAAATTAAAGGAGAAACCATTTTTATTCACTTTAGAAATATTAAGGGAAAAAAAAAAGCCAAATCACTTTGTTTTTTATTTGACTTGTATGGAGGAATCAGAAATTGAACCAAGATGTCGGGAGGAGAATCATTCCAACCATTGGCTAAGGAACACATGTCGTTCACGTTCCAATGTTTGACTTTGACATTCACAAACTACACAATTTAAAGAATGTGCATGAGGTGCTACTCAGGATTCATGGCGTATGGTATGTTGTTGACCCCAGATTGGATGACGCCAAGAAGAACAACATCATGAAAAGTTTATTGTTCCAATCGATACCATACAATTTAATTCTCCAAATTGGTAACCTTCGAACCGGCAAAGAGATGTGATATGCGATTAAAACCCGAAACCTTGGAGCTGATTTTGAGTAAAGGAAGCAGGGCTCCAAATGTTGACTATTGAGTTCGAGAACATCAAGATGAGTGATACAAGTACCATACACGATTTTGCTGGAAAATTATCTGGAATTTCTTTGAAATCTACTTCACTCGAAGAGGCTATAAACGAACAGAAACTTGCGAATAAGTTTCTCACGATCCTCCCTAGAAGATTTGTGCATATTGTAGCGGCTCTTGAATAATTCTTAGATCTTAAGGCAATAGGCTTTAAAGATGTTGTTGGTTACTTAAAAGCCTATGAAGAAAGAATCAAGGAAAATGATAAGATGTTTGAAACACAAGCAAATCTACTTTATACCGAAACCAAATCTTCATATAGTAACACTGAATCATCAAATGGTAGAGGTGGAGGTTCAAATAGTCGAGGAAGAGGACATGATGGTGGAAGCGGTGGTGGACGTGGTCGGGCTAACACCCAAAATCAAATATCCAATGTTACCAGTGTGACAAGTATGGTCACTTTGCTTCATGATGCCCGAACCGAATCAAAAATCTTGAGGCAAACCTTAATGAGACACACAAAGGAGACACATATCTTGAAGAAGGATCGTTCTTTATGATGAATGCAATTCAATAAATGGTGCTCTTGAATGAAGACAAATACATCCCTCCAAAATTGAAGCAAATGCCGATGAAGACGGAATTTGGTACTTAGACGATAGTGCGAGCAACGACATGATTGGAAACTACTCTTATTTTTCTTAATTAAATAAAAACATAGCAGGTGGAGTGAGATTTGGAGATGGGTCTTGTGTTAGCATTAAAGGAAAAGGGTCAATTTAGTTCAAAGGGAAAAGCGGTGAGCAAAAACCAATGAAGGATATTTATTATATCCCAGGACTTCGTACTAATGTTATTAGCCTCAGGCAATTTACAATAGCAGGTGGTGATATTCACATGCAAGGTGATTTCCTAACCGTGCGATATGGAAATAGAAGATTTCTTATAAAACTCCAAAGAATTGCAAACCAACTTTACAAAATTTAGTTAAATGTTGGTAAATAACATTACTTGCAATCCAAGACATCAATTAAAAAACGAATCAGTAAAGAGATCAAGACTTTCCATACAGATAGAGGCATAGAATTCACATCGACTAAGTTGAACTGTTTTTGTAAAGAAGATGGGATTTCACGTATGTTGATGGATCCTTATGTACCTTAAAAAAACGGTATATTCGAACAGAGAAATCGGACTCTACTTGAGATAACACGGTGCCTAATGAAAACAAAAGATATTCCAAACCACTTTTGGGGTGAAGCGGTACGACATGCAACGTTCATCATAAATCTTACACCTACTTGAGCATTGATAAGTGCAACACCATTTGAGAAATTTTATGGTGAATACCAAACCTTGAAGACTTGAAAGTATTTGGTTGTGTTGCATATGAAAGAGTAGTCTTAAAACATTTGATGAATATTGATGATAGGTCACGACCGTTGGTATATGTTGGAAAGGAACCCAATTCGGGATGATTTTGGTTATATGATCTGCGGGAAAATGAGATTATTGTAAGTGCCCATGAAATTTGTGATGAAACTAAGACATGGAAATGGAATAATGAACCCGAAAATCAAGATGAAAATGGACCAGATACATTTGTGGTCTTGTGGAGTAATGATCAAACAACCCAAGATAATGGTGGTTCAATCCCAACTATAACCGAAACCGAAAAGATCACGGATCTTACCCAAGCCAACCAAACTAATGACACTTCTCACGATGATAATGGCCCATCTGAACATGTTAATGATCATGATAATGATACAAATTTCGTCCCACCCCACCAGTCTACTCGAACTTCAAGTGGTACCAAGAAGATTAAATGGCTACGAGTTAGATGTGGATCATTTAATGTTTTCATTCGATGTTACGAAGGTCTTAGCTTAGATAAGGTTCACAGAGATGAAAGCGTTGCTTGGTGCAAGCATTACCCTCGACTCAAAAATTCAGGGGGTGATTGTTCACGAATTTGTTGAGACATATGTGGCCACTTAGCATCTTATGGTCTAGCTTAAAGGTTGCCTTGGAGTGGTGTCCAAGTCTTTGTATTTCCTTGAGCAATAAGGAAAGTAAAAAAGGGAAAGTTTTAAGTGGTTACAATTTAGGAATCCTAGTTATATTCTAATGTGTTTGTTTTAGTATATAATGAGATAGGGTTCATTATTCTATAATCAGAGAGTTAAGAGATTGAAGTTTTGAGTTATTTTTCTTCAACAAAAGTTCCAGCGAGTTAAGGCTACATATTTAACTTGTTTTTCTTCTTTGCTTTAGACTACATTATCAATTTAATTTGGAACCCATAAATGTTTAAATAATCACTAAAAATGCTCCCAAGATTGGAAGCGAATGGACGGATGTCTATCGGTGTAAATCAACAGTGAACAACAGATAGCTCAAAATGAAACATGCTTCTTTTTAACAAACATACCAAACGGGGCAACAAAAACAGAGTTCATAAAGTTATGTGGTAAGTATGGAAAATGGCAAATATCTACTTTGGAGAATGAAGAGGAAGAAATGGGAAGAACTGTGAATTCATTCGTTTTGCTAGTGTTCAAGATGCAAAAACCTTGGAATCCAAATTAAACGGTGTTATATGCAAGAGTTGCAAATTAGAAGTCAACATTTCACGCCACAAAAGAAATGTACCACCAAACAAACCCATCCATACAATGAAAGCACCCTCCCCCCCCCCCCCAACATCAGTCATGGTGGTGGTAACAGATTCGTAGACACGAGATATTACGTGGAAGTCACTAAAACCAACAAAACAAACCACTCGAATACTTCACCTACTAGAAGACCCCCATCAGATGTTGCTCCCATCCGCCTGCTCAATCGTTGGAACAAAAAATCAACCCTCTTTGGAGAAGCAAAGTCGCTTCATCACCTGTGCCATTTACCAACATTGCTCTCTATACACGGTGAAAAATGCTTTGAATTCAAATATGTTGGGGGATCGAAAGCACTAATCAGCTTTAACGCCTTAATAACGTCTAGTTGACAAGTTTGAACAAGTCGCCTAGATAAGAATTGTTGGAATTCCATTAAGGTTTTAGTGTGAATCTAAATTTTCTACTATTGTGAAAAGAGTCGGTACGATTATTGCCCCCTTCAAATACATCAACACTCGGGTGGACCTGTCTTTTGTGAAAATTGTTATCATCATATCATGGAGGTAAAAACGAAACTAAATAAAGAAATCCCTATGAAGGTGGAAGGTAAAATATTAAAGGTGGGATTGGTTGAGTATGAAGATGAACCTTGGCTCACGTTCAATTTTAATAAGGAGGAGCATCCTTACATGTCTGATTTGGATGCCAAATCAGATAGTTACAAAAGAGGAGAATGAATATGACAATGTAGATAACGCCTCTAATGGGGATAAACGTATCCCTATTACTTGGATTTATGATATTGAAGAAGGGGAAATCGTCAGTGACGATGTCAATGCTCCTATGCCCCCGATGGATGCAAAACCCGATGATGACACCACCGCCTTTGTTGACAAGAACAAAATTAAATATCTAGGCATGCCTACTCATCATCCACCGGCAACTTGGGACTCCCAATTGCTGCACAATTATTTCGACACGAGGGAAGGTAAACCTTGACTTGGAAAGAACACATAATTAATTGTTATTCAGAATATGGAAATTGATTCAGATGTGGATCAAGTAATGAATTCAAATGGATTTTTAGACTCAACTCAGTTAGGTCATCAATCGTTGGGGTTGCTGGAGCCCATTGACTTTCCAAATAATCTTCCCCAATCTGGGTGCTTTGGCCCATTTCCTTCTAACATTGTAAACAATCCCCCCAATTAGCCGTCTCTTCATCAACATTGAACAAACATATAAAATTGGTTGTTCTTCAATCAAAAGGCTTCGATTATGTCACTCCTTGCCTTCGAATCCGCCTGAATAATTCCGGAAAAAAGGCTCTTTAATGGTTACGAAGTTACCAACGATCCCTCCATCGATAACCAAACTCACTTTCTGAATTCCAACTCTTCCCCTCCTAATTTTGCAGGTCTTGGTTTCGTAGATCCTACAATCCTTTCATCATTACAGGAAATTACAACCACTCCTGATAATGGTTCTTTGATTGGGTTTGAGATTAACTCGAATAATCGACTGTTGGTAGACATACTTGGTATAAATGGTGAGAATAATGTTCCTTAATGAATTTTATCTCCCTTAATATCGGAGGTATTGGGGAAGAGCATAAAGTGGTGTGGTTTAGAAGACTCAAATCAACTCGCAAGATTTCGTTCTTAGCTATAAAGGAAACACAACAGTTAGATGCAAAAGTCATTGAAGTCTCGGCTTTTTAGGGCTGAAATGATTTTGAGTTGAACCGTATAAACTCTTTTGGAAGATCCAAGTGGTTGTTGAATGTTTGGGATTATAGCTTATTCAGTTCCATCAGGGTTATTACTTCTATTCATTTCCTTATTAACATTAGATACTAGTTTGGTGTCTAATGTCCAATGATTTTCACAAACATTTGTGGTCCACAATCGGTGTAGGATAAGGCAAAGTTGTGGGATTATCTCTTAGAAATTAGAAACTTAAAAGATAGTGTATGGATTATGATGGGGGAATTTAATACAGTCAGAAGGCCAGAAGAAAGATTTAACTCAAGATTTTGTCCCATGACTACTCGTGACATCAACAAATTTATTCTAACACTTGTTTTCTAGAATAGATCAGTTGATGATATAAATGAGTCAAATGCATGGTTTTTTAGGAAAACCATTTTCCACGACGTGGTGTATGGACTGCTATGACATGAATTCCAAATGAATAATGCATATTTCAGATGGTCACTATGATATGACATGAAGGGTATCACGACGTGGTGAAAGTTGCAGCCCAAGTCCATAAATTTTAGGGTTTCCTTCGTATTTAAGTGCCTTAAAGGATTAGGCCATTCTCCTCAGCCTCCATCCACCCTAAACAAAAACCTAGCCTCTCATATTTTCTTTTTGCTCTTTGATGGTGTTGTGGTCACTTGAAGGTTGAAGGATGACTTTGTTGAGCAAATGATCAACTAGCAAGCTTATCTAAATCTTTTGGTGCACCTTCTAGACTTGTGTAACTCTCCAAGCTCCGATCTTTTTGGTATATCTCATGTGGATCTAATTTTTGAGCCCTTTTCCTTCATGATTTTTGGTTATGATTGGTTGGTTTGGATAAAGTTGGAAAATTTATTACTCCTTGAGGTCCCTTGGTCATCATATGTTCCATATCTAGACTCTCTTTTTGTTTGGTGAAATGCATGGATTTTTTACTCCATTTCTTACCCCTTTTGACCTAGTTATGGGAGAGACATGAATTGGACATGCATTTACATAAATTAATGATTTTTATAGCTCTTTAGAAGGCAAGGAAGACTTTTGGAAAGTTGGAGCAAAGGACTTAACGACTTCAGCCATTAATGTAAAAATATGGCTTCTGGAAGTCGTCGCGAAAGGACAAGGAATAGTTATGGTGTGGCAAAGCGCAACATTGTGATTGTTTTGTATTTTCATTCCCACGATTTGGCTATGAAGGGATCACGATGTTGAGTTGAATTTGACTAGGTTTACTAATAACTTTTGACCAGTTTGACTTAGGGTCAAACTTGGAGGATTTGGGTTACTGATTAAGGATTTATTTGTCCTGGTGTTAGTTAGTTCCAAGGATTGATCAGTGAAAGGAGTTAGTGTTAAGCTATGCTTTTGTGGTTCTTCCATTCAGGTGACTTTCACATTATGCCGCATATCCCATAGCACCCGTAGTGCTGGGAGTTTGAGATCGAGGATTTCGAATAAGGATCTGTCTGATTTTAATGCGTTTTAGTGACAGTTGACTCTACTGCTTGAATGTTGCTTGCTTTGTGCTTTATGGGACTCACATTGATGGGATCTAACCATAAAATGAATGCATTAAGTTACATGCTAGGGGGTTAAATACTCCTAGAGTAAAGGATTTGGCCTTATTGCCTAGTTCTCGTTTGAGTCTAACCGTTGTAGGGTTGGGTCATTTAGTCAAAAGATTATTTAAGTTTTGTTGCATGTAATTGTATTCATGGAGTGCTTGGCTAGCATTAATTGGAGCCCCTCATCAGATGATGGCAGGGGAGATGGGGAACCCTAGGATAGCCTAGGGAGTATTTTAGTGCGATTGTTTCGTTGTTGAGTAGGTTTTGGGAGTATTTTATGAATAGGTCATAGAGGACCCAAGATGATTCTTGAGGAAAGTATGGATAGATATGGAAGGTAGTATTAGGCCCATAATACTAGAAGCATAGGATCCATACTCGAATCGAGTAGGGTTTCAGGGATTTTAAGGGCTGGTAGGGGAAGATAGCATGGTTGGATACCATGATTCGTGGCAGTTTTTATGTTCCTTCCGATCTTCTTTTTTTTTTATTGCTCAGGCATGAGGATGGTACTAGTAATTGTTCTGATACCTATTTGAGACATCTATTTTGGTTGTTTGGTGCAGACCTAGTGAGCATGTTGGTTTTGAGGTCTCGGGGGTTTCGCTCAAGGTTGGGTATTCGAGTCACGAGACTCAAGAAGGGGATGATCATTATGATTGGCCTGGGGATTCTGTCCTTTCTCCTTTTCGAGTTCGGGGAAGGAGTAAGCAGGCTTGTCACTTTCAGGATCGAGATGTTAGTCCAGGGTGGGGCTGTTGGTCATGGGGTTTAGCAACTTCATGTCAGTGCACAAGTGCACAGGTGGATTGATGTGTTTATGGATGCTTAGTGGTGTACTTAAGGGCCCATGTTCTTGGTTTATAGTAGGACAGGTTTCGGATCATCATTTGGGAATCCAGGCAAAGAGGGGACATTTTGGATCGTAAGTTGGTAGCTGCTTATGTTTGGTACGGGTTCTGTAATAATAAGAGGTCGTGATTGGAATTTTTAGAGGTCCTCAGCTGAAATTCAGGATTCTCAAGGGTTGGTATGATCTCTGCCTGGGTGATCATCCTGTATATTTTAGTGGTGTCTCCAGTTAGGGCCTGGGGATAGATTCATGGATGGATGCTCCTTAGTCATAGGGAAGGATTTGGGAGAAAATTTTATGAGTTGCCATTTTCGAGTTGGCTTTTGGCGGGAACTCACGCTGATAATCGCAAGTGTATTCATGCCATGTTTGTATTTCAGTGAGATGGGGGTTAAGGAAATCAGTATCTTGTAGCTTATTGTGTTCACGAAATTGTTATCATCAGAGTGATCCTTCTCTCGAAGGAATATTTATCCCACCTGGTCAAGCCAAAGGTTTTCAGTAGCATCAAATGGTCTACGTTTCTTCTTTCTAGTAGGAACTTCAGTTAATCAGAAGCTGAGTAGATAGTTTGATGGATTTAGCATTAGTTCAGTATGGGCAGTTTGTCAGGGAGTCAGACCAATTGGAGCAGTAGTAATTATCTTGCATAGGATTGATTGAGGTTGGGAGGGATTTGACTATCTTTAGGTTGGAGAAACCTGTTAAGGTTGGTTTTGGCTACCTCTGGAAGGTTTTTGTATTCTTGGGAAGGGTAAGGACATATTTCGAGGAAAAAATATAATTTAAGTGTGGGAGATTTGTAACACTTGTCCTGAATCGTTCCCATTTGGGTGTGGGTGATGTACTTTAGATTATTCGGGTGTTTGGTTTGTGTTTTGGAGCCAAAGGGTATTTTGGTAATAGGTCAGCTCAGGATTTTATGGGAATTGGATGATTGTTTGGGAAATTGTAAGGAAAGTATTAGTTGATTAAAGTGTAGAGTTTCTTGTTACCTTTTCATGGATATAAGGATCGTCAAAATCGGATTTATAATGAGAAAGTTATGGCCTTCAGAGTATATTGAGGTTTAAAGAGAAACTTCGTACGCGGGGCGTACCTAGGGTGTACGCAGGCAGTACTGATGCGAAGGGCATAACACTGAGTGTAATGTGGTTTACTCTTAACATACTGTGAGGGTTGGATCGGGGTGCGAGACCTCGTACGTTGGTCATCTGAGGAGCACACGCGGCGTACGAGGGGTCAGTGAAAACCTTGAATTTTTATGTTGTACCTTTTATAACCACATTAAGTCTTTAGGGCTGACCTCTTTACCAGCCTCCAAGTCTCTAAAACCCTAGAAATCGCCCCTTAGCCTCCTGGTGGTGTTTTTGAGCTTATGATGTGAATTTTTATGTTATTGGGCCATTTTCAAGAAGAATGAGTTTGATGCAAGGTTATGGATCAAGAAAAAGCTTATGGATCTTGCTTGTGTGCTTCATTTCCAGCTTGTTTGAGGTAAAAAGCTATGAACTTGTTCATTAATGGCTTAGATTTATTATATATGAGTCTTGGTCCCTTTTGCCCTAAGAATGAGATCTAGTGGTTTGATACCACTCCAGGAGCTATGAGTTGCCACTCTTGGTGTTTCTGAGGTTCTAGTTGCATAAAGTTGTCACCTTTAGGGTTTAGATTCATCCATGCAATAGTTTACGTCCATTTTTTGATACTAGAGTGTTATATTTTGAAGTTGGGTCTTTATGGGGCATGCAAAGTCTCCAAGTTAGTGACTTTATGGCTGTAGACACCTATTGGGGCTCAGATCTGTGATTTAGACTTCTGGACTTACGAATTAAGAGGTTAATGGTGGATTTGACTTAATGGAGGAGTATGTTGGGCGCACAAGTCTGGACGCGTAGCGTACAAGCCAAATAGCATGTACGCTTAGTTGTCTAGGGCACTGTTGGTGTAACAACCCGAAATTTGTTCGTCGCCAAAACCCATTCTACCCGGAAAGTCGCCGTTATCGGATTCGTTCCGATTTCTCTTTGAAATTTATTTGTATAAATTTTATATGTTTATTTTATCCTAATGAGTGTCTAAAACACTCAGGAACTTATATTATTCGCCCAAAATGATTATTTCGCGAGTTTTTAAAATGTTCCCGTCGGGTGACGGAAACTCAATCGGGTGCGACCAAAAGCCGCGGTTAGCGTCGGTATCGGGTAGAATTCCACCGCGTGCAAATTCTAGGAACTATATAAACATGTTTCAGCCTTCATTTGAAGCTTTTCCTTCTCTCACTACTCTCTCTCTAACCTCTCTCCAAAATCCAAAGATTTAGTGTCCAAAACTCAATTTTAAGGCTTCAAATCCTTAAGGTACCTTCCTAGCCTTAATCTATAGCATGTTTAGCTTCCAAAT